TAACCTTTATTTCACCAGGCAAAACAATAGGTTGTTCAACCTATATCTTCTGATACGCTCAAGATAATTTAACAACCCGTCATACATATACATCAAATTTTCTTCAGCCCAGCTTTAAGTTCAAGGTCACAAATCAAGATCAAATGTTATTAAAGGTCTTTGCTAGTCCCACCCAGAACTTCTGATCCACTCATGATAATCGATTCAAACTTGGAACACATCTGTACCACCACTGGACAGTCTGTCACATCCTTTCCATAACCCCAGCTCTAAGGTCAGGGTCACAAATCAAGGTTGAAGTTTATGTCTTTGTTTGTCTGGGCCATTGCTATAGATTGTTGTATAATAGTTTATGGACCAGCACATAATGGGCTGTAAGCGGTACTCTTACTTTGCCTTGTTGTAACAATACTAAGTGGCAGTCAGTCTCATATAATTAGACGTCTTGTTTATTTTTATTAAATGGTGCCATATTGTTAAGGAAAATGCATTTCTGCATCCATCCATCCATTATCTTTACCCGCTTATTCCATTTTTTTTTTGGGTCACGGGGGTCGCTGGTGCCCATGTCCAGCAATCACTGTGCGAGGGGCGGGGTACACCCTGGACGGGTCGCAAGTCCATCACAGGGCCACACAGAGACAAACGAGACAAACAACCATTCACTCTCTCACTCATACCTAGGGACAATTTAGAGTTACCAATCAGCCTAACATGCATGTTTTTGGTCTATGGGAGGAAACCGGAGTACCCGGAGAAAACCCACGCATGCACGGAGAGAACATGCAAACTCCGCCCAGAAAGGCCCCTGGACCGGGGTTTGAACCAGGGACCTGCTCACTGAGAGGCAGCAGCTCTACCAGTTGCACCACCATGCTGCCCGCATTTCTGCATTGTACCCATTAAAACCTGCTAAACCTTCACTGCTAATGCCAAAGAGCTCGTTCTGCTATGGACCCTTGTTTTGAGCTTCTGGTGCCCCAGTATCTGTCAATCAGGTGCTTGACTGGCAGCACTTGTGAGCAACCAGTGGCAATCTCAGCTCAACAGTGTGGGACCAAACTCTGTCCTCCAGAAATACAACTCTGTGATTGATGCATGTATTTATTAACCTTTTATTAACCTGGTGAATCCCAGTGAGCTCACAGATCTCTTTTGTAAGGGAGAACTGGGCCTGAAGGCAGCCTAACATGCAGACTTTGGATTGTGGGAGGAAACTGGAGTGTCTGGAGAAAACCCACGCAAACACGAGGAGAACATGCAAACTGCACACAGAAAGATATTTATTTAATTTGGTGTGTCTTAGAAAAGCCTTCCATACTGTAAGCTTCTTGAGCTTTTGCATTTCCCCCACACAATTTTTATCTGTATTTTATTTAGTTTTTTTTAATTCTGTGCATTAATTAAATAAATTGAAAAACAATGGAAAACACTCAGCCCTGTTGAACAAGGTTTATCAGAGACCCAGGGTTTGGGAGTTAAAAGGATGTATCCATGCACTGACTCTGCATGTGGAGTGAGATACAACCTTAGAGCTCTCAGTAGCACACGCAAAACTGATAGTGTCACTTTTAGTCTAAAATATGTGCTTTTTTTTTGCAGATTTGTTGACGGGCAGTTTCTGCTCATCCTCCTTAAAGGTGCAGTCCGGTTTTAAGTCGAGTGCTGAACCAGACCAAGATGAAAGGACTGGTTAGCAAAAACTAATAATAAGTTGAAGAAATGTAAATGGGTGCATTAGACAAAGTAAAATAATTTCAACTTTCATTTGTCTCACCAAAAGGCCTTTTGCGTCATCCAGCCAACTTAAAAACACATGAGGAGAAAGTTGTTAAATTTGAGAATCAAGAGTCTTTCATACAGTCATACATCTACAGAGTTCACCTCAAAAAACAAACCACTGACAACTCTCAAGAAGGGAGGAGGAAGGAAAGTACACATTAGTGAAAAAAGGTGGTAGAGGCAAAATAACGGGGGAGTAAAAAGTAAAAATGAACCTAATCTTTCCTGTTGCTACTGAACTGACTGACATTTGCTGGTGGGGTGATGAGGACGTTTCAGGCAGCGATGTGTGACATCAGCTGCCATGTCTGGTGGGCACTGGTACCGAGTGGAATAGAAAAGTGTTTAATAATGTGGTGAAACTGTTTGTATTCATACGTTTATGGCAAAAGCGTCGCTTGCTCAGACGAGAGCGCAGCTGAAGGAGCAGGTCACTGAAATGTGACGCAGGAAGTCACTGAGCTCAGATGAATTGTTGCTTTCTGTTTTCACACTGGCGGCCTGACGGCACAGATGATTTGGCCAGATCAAAGGATAATGTGGCTTCTTCGTGGGCTTCGTTTTCTCCTGCGACATAGGCAGAACTTTTTGAGGCTACCGGTAGATCTGATGAGTTGTATCAAAAGAAGCAGCAGGTTGGTTTGTAAACTGTACTTTATGCTCACTTGTCCTCACATTCTACTGAACTAAAAGGAAAAGTGTTTCAGTGGTGCCTGAGTTTTCAATCGCACCGATACATTTTATTTGTCCAAAAATGTCTCATGAAATGTGCTTCTCATTTAGTTATGTCTTCAGCAACGCAGAGGAGCGGCAGCTGAAGGTGGGTTCAGGAAAGGGCAGGCCGCACATGTCCAGTGAGGACAGTGTATAACTGAGCGTTCTAAATGCTGGTAATGATGACTATACATAAAAACGTAAAGTGGCAAGACTGCAAAGCTTCAGGATGTGCATGTACTGTAAATATGGTATGTCTATGTCTGAGAAAAGGGGGGAGTGGGGGGCAGGGAAACGAGGTAAACACAACCTCTGTCACTTTGCATTCAGGAAGTGGAACACGCTCGCAGTCGTTGTCTCGTCCTCTCACAATGACTGTGTGCTTTTCATTATCTTAGTGTTGTGAAATTCCCCTCTGGCTGCCGTCTGACCCAGGCCTGGTTTGTGGTGCGCACGGCCACCTCACTTGCCCCACCGTCTCCAAATCGACCACTGTAACCCGGGGACTTTTTAGTCCCTTTGTTTGTTGTTGTACTCTTCCCAGCCAGCGACCGCAGCGCCACCGCGGCTCATCTGCTTGTGCAGCAGGAACTGATTGAGTTGTCTGAACGCGTGACGCTGGCATGTAGAAGGGTTTCTAAAGAAACAGATGGTTTGTGCATGACAGAGACGGTGACAGCGGCATGTTGTAGGCAAGTGTCGGCACAGATACAAGTGAGAGAGCATGCAACTGCAGGTGGAAGATCCTGTCAACTTTCTGTCGCTTTTTCAAATTTTACTTTGTATTTTTCTTTCATTTTTTTTTTTTTTTTTACTAATTGATGGACTTGCGACCTGTCCAGGGTGTCCCCCGCCTCTCACACAGTGATGGCTGGACATGGGCACCAGTGACCTCCACTATGACCCGAAAAGGAAGAAGCAAGGAAAAGATAATGGATGGATGGATGTATTAAAAAATTCTAATTACTTTAGTCCTGGCTGATTAAATGAATATTATTACCACTTATGTTGTGATGAATATAATAAATTTTAGTACTGCCACTTTATTATTGTTTAAATAAAGAATAATTGCAAATAAAATAAAAATTAGTAGTTTATAAAATATAATTTTATAAATTTTTTGATGCTCATATTTTAGTTGAGAAACAAAAACCTGCAGGAGTGAAGGAGGCCATCTTTGTGAAGAGACGCTGTCCATCATTAAACAGGGGCGGAGCCTCCGTGTCCAACTGTCCCCCTCTTACAATGCTGTTATTGCTAGTATCACTCAGCCCTCTGTGAATAGCAAGCGGCCATCAGGGTCGGTCGTTAGACTGATCGTCCTCCTTTATCATGTGAACAGCTAGTTCAGGATGTCAAACTGGTTGATCCACCATGAGAAGGTGCTATTTATAAAACTGAGTTTATTGCAGCTCTTCAGACTGAAGAAGTCTTTTGGATAAAAGACGAAATGTTTAAACAAGTTTTTATTTATTTATTTTTAATCCATCCAGAGGACCTGGACTTGGTTAGATTGCCATAACTCTATTTTTTGAATGAAATGACATCTTTCATACTTGAAACTAAAAATTTAAACCTGACTTTATTCTTTCCTCAAGCGAAACCTTGAAACTTGGGTTAGAAACCATTAATTTATACGGAAAAAACAAAATCCTTCAAGGGTTCATGATGCTTGAAGTGGAATTCAGTGGAAAAGTTCTGAACCAAGCCTTTACTTTTTGTGAATAGCTCTTTAAACAGCATCAGTTTGGAAAAATAGTGTTCGATTTCAAAAAGACTGATGAGCTAACGGCTAGTCTGAACGCACCTAAAAGCAAACTGGATCGCTCCATCCTAAAACTGCTCCTGGCTCCAAACTTTCACAGCAACTCGTGCAAAAAAAATACTTTTACACCTTCTTCCGTTTTGCATTGCATAAATAAGAATTCTGTTAATTTGGAAGTACAAATAGCTGCAGCAGCAGCTGACTGTAGCACTTCCAGTGCAGTTTCAACTCATCAATATTTCATTCCCTCAGTTCACTCCATCCAGTGTTAGAAGTGTGCAGCGGAGCTTTCCATCTCTGTGCAGTTTGTTCTTTGTGTGTTTTAATCTCAGGCTGCATGAGTGTGGACATTTCTAAATCAGTTTGTAGTTTATTGTGTGTCTGTAAGACTTTGCAACATGAACGTATCACTGTTGAGGGAACTGCTCATCTTAAATGGTTTCCAGAATGTGTGTGCATCCCATGTGATTCTAATATGGAAAGCCCCGTCATGAGTGGTTTGATTGAAATCACTGCTCACAGCTAAAGACATTAAACCGGGCCTGAGAAGACGAATCAAACGGAGCAGCGTTTGTGCTGTAAAGTGAAGCCCGTTTGACCCGTTGACTGACGCAAATTCAGCATTAAAAGAAGTCCCTTCCTAGAAAACCCGCAGCGGATTGAAGACCGCACCACAAAGAGGATGTACAGTCTGTTAAGTTGTATTTTTAGTAACTAACTGCAGTTTTCTGTTCACCAGGATCACAACTTGGACTGGTTTCCACGAATGCGAGCCATGTCCCTGGTGAGCAGCGACGCAGACGGGGAGCAGAACGAAATCAGGAATCTGCAGGAGAAACTGGAGTCCACCATGAAACTGGTGACCAACCTGTCGGGCCAGCTGACCGAGCTCAAGGAGCAGGTTGGTTTCAACATGAGAACCTTTTCACAGGCACAGGTCTGTGGCCTCGCTGGGGGGGGGAATATGAGGAGTGAGAAAAGAGGCACCTTTCAGAAAGAGGTGGACACCTGACGACGCTCTTGGTTTGTTTGTTTGTTTGTTTGTTTGCTGCCCGTTGACCTTTAAATGCAGGCCTTACTAAACACTAAAGACCATGAGTCATAGTTCACCTCACAGCTTGAGAGGCTTTCAATTTCATTTCACTTCCATCATTTTCCAACAGCTCGTCTTTACTCTGGACTTCACGGCCTTTTCCACCAGTAACTATAAACCCTTAAAGAACATTTAATGCTTAACTCTTCCGAGAGAACAGCACTTTGCTGATGCGGCACATTTCTGCGCCTCCAGTTGCACAACTGCTGCGATCCACGGCTTCTAGTAAAGCCATGTGTAAAAATGTCTTTACCCATGAAATGAGAACTGTCTTTGAGGAAGTGGATGTTTCCAAGACATTTTGACCCAGACAGGGGGAAATGATTGTCGTGTGTCTGAACCCTGCTAAGGACACGCCATCATTCCCATTTCACCCCACATCCAACCTCTCAGACCTGTTTTGATTTATCCCCACGCTGCTGAAGGTGTGTGTTAACAACAAAACATCTCATGATCAACTGGATGGATTTGAATGAAACTCCCTGAACGAATTCATTAGATATAAATCTACAGCTGATTAACTTTTGGAGTCCTTCTCATTCAAGGTGGCGTCACAGCTAATTCACCTTAGCCGCCACAAACGGCTATAACGCAGTTAGCTTTACAGATTTATGTTTCAAAAAGCCAGATTGTGCATCAAGATTCACTTGATGAATCTAAACGCACTACTTTCTAAAGAAGTAATCAACTACGAGTAATAGAGAATCACAAAAGCACCCTGTTATTGTGTCATACCAAAGAAAATGAGATGACAGTATTCCCTCACTACTTCGCGGTTCGACTTTCGCAGACTCGCTCTTTCGCGGTTTTTCAAAGTAAGATTGGACATGACACACAATTGGCTGATTGATGAATGGCTTGGAATTATTGAAGATAAATTATTTTAAATTATTTAGCACATGCTGCATGTCATATCTCTGCTCTGCAGCGGAGAAGTGGGCGTGGCCGAGAGCGCTGGCAGGTGGCAGAGAGCGATATCATGACATGCTGTGCTGTTTTAGAGCATTTAGAGTTTAGAAACATTGTTTAGAATATTGCAATAAATAAACTACTACTTACTACTTGTATTACTATTCCTACTTCACGGTTTTTCACTTATCGCGGGGCTTCCTGGTACGGAAACCCCCGCGATAAACAAGGGACTACTGTATTCAGGAAACTGCATCATGGAACGAGTTGACGTTCTTCAGCTAGCCGAGCAGTCTCTGTCCAACCGATGTGTCTAAACGATGTCTTTGTCTGAATAAGTCTCTGTACGCAGAATTAGTTCTCCCGGAACACTCATACCAAGACCACTCTGTCGTCTCACTTTTACCATCAGTGTGTTTCAGGGCTGTGGTGCAAATCACAACTTCATGAGCAGAAAAGGTTGCTCCGGTTCCAACTGGTGTAAAGGTTAACGTTTTGACTCATGTTTCGCTTGATCTCTGAAATTCGAATCCACTCGGTTTCAGTTTTAGTCGTTAGTGTTGTGCCTCTTTCGTCAGAAGGCCCAGAAATGTGGATGACAAAAAGCCGTCAGGATTTCAGAAGAATCAGTTCAGCTGAGCCCGTGTGCAGTTGTTCGTTTCTGCAAAGTGAATCGATGGAGACGAGTAGAAGCTGCCTGTGTGTTTTCAGCAGAAGGGGATGTACGCTCACCTCTCTCTCCTCTTCAGATGACCGAACAAAGGAAGCAGAAGCAGCGGATCGGCCTGTTGGGGCACCCTCAGCACATGAACGTCAACCCCCAGCAGCCTGCGTGAGCTCTGCCGCCGCCATCCAAGCTGCTCCTGTTGGCGTCTGGGCGCAGCGTTCAGACCTCCATGTTTCACGTCTGTGTGACTCTGAGTAAGAAAGTATCGTAAGGAAACGCTGTAATGTAGTTAGTTGTCAGGCGATGTGTAGCTCTACCCCACGCAGGTGTCACTCCCGAGAGTGACGCTCACCCTCCTGCTCCGGTTAACTCTGCTGGAATTGGTGCCAATTTATTTATTTATTTATTTATTTGTGCACAAAAGAATTGGATTTCTCAACAGATGGCCTTTAACAGATGAACTTGAATTTTGACAAATTATTATTATTTATTCCAGTTATACTCCTGACACTATGAGCAGTATTTAATGTCTTATCTTTGTATGATGACACATGCAGGGTGTCAGTTTAAGTTCTATCATTAACTGAAATGCTCTGGTTTAGTCTCTGCCGGCTCTGGATTATTAGCATTTTAACTGTTTGTATTACACAGAAACATAGATGATACAATAAGCTGCTCTTCAAAATGCTCCGAGCTTTATGACCTCTGCGCTCAGTAGATATATTTTTAAAGCAATACAAACATAAATGACTTCTGTGTGTGTGTCAAAAGGTCACGTCTCACTGCTGACTTGAAATTATCCTTATTTACCTGAATATTAACAGAGAATGAAATTTATGTTTAAACCTTTCCTCGCTGTGTGATGCTTTTAAAATCAGGAACAGTTTAGCAGAGATGACTTGATTCTTGCACCATTTAGCGCCTTTCTGTCAAATATTGAAGCTGCTTCTGTTGATGTGTACTTTTCTCTTCAAGTTTGACTTTTTAGTTGCTCTCGAGGCTCTAAATGTTTTTTACCTACATGTGTATATAAGGTTTGTTACTTAGTGAACTTTTGCTTTTTGTATAGAAAACTAAGACAGGCAGAAAAATAATTGAAGAGTGTTAGGAGTAAGGAAATCAAACTATGTCAATTTGTATATTTATGTAGAATTATTTATTAAAATTACTGTAATCCTCCTTTATTTGTGCTGTTTTTATTATTTTTGATCATGTATTCTGCTTTAAAACAGCTTAAGGATGTCTGGAAGTGTTCATAATTATATATTTGTACTTAAAGTAATAAGCAGTTCACCAAAGATGATTCATCTTTATTAACGCTGCTGTTTTACTTTTTTAGTTTATTATTAATATAAATGTGTAATACTCTTTTGAACATTATAGATAAAATCTAACAAGGTTAAATAAGCTCCTCTGGACAGATTAAAATAAATAAAATTTTAATCTCTCCAGAGGACCTGGCTTAACTTTGTTAGATTTTTCTACCTGGACTATTGATGCATGCATCAGGATGTTATAGATAAAATATTACCTTCACTGGTAAAATCTGAATAAAGTGTTTATCAAACCAGAAGTTTACAGTATTTTATGAGCGAAGGTGAACTTTTCCATGACTTCACGGCTGCTTCTGCAGAGAAATGACGTCTGTTGACTGGAAATCCGTCTCGGGTGTCTGAACCCAGAACCCCCAGCAGGACGTGCGTCTGTGGAAATCATCTCGGATTTTAAACATTTTCTCTTCAGTCTTGGACACACAAAAAAAAAAGTTCTCCAAGTAAAAAATGAACTTGAGCCTATCTCATGAGAAACTGATAAGTGTTTATTAGCACACTGCTTTCGCGCGATGCCTAAAATGAATGTGTGAGCCACACCACTATTTTATTGTAATTTTAAAAAAAAACATAGCGCAACTCTTTATCCCACCATGTTAACATTTATGTCATGTCCATTTATTCACATGGTCAGATCATAAATAAAAAACAGACTTCTTCCAGCTTCAAATGTACGACGTGGAAATAAAATAACAATATATATCTTCATTGTCTAAGAAATTTAATAATAAAATACAATTAACTGTTTTACCAGCAGTCACTTTTTTTCCAGACTTGACTGTTGACATTTGGTGTATAAATTTAGTAATAATAATTATAAATTTAATAATAGATTTAGATCTGATTGCATCGTGTATATACAGGTGCATCTAAAAAGATTAGATTATTGTGAGTACACATTATATAGATTCATTACAGAGTGAAATATTTCAAGCCTTTATTTATTGTAATTTTCATGATTTTAACTTGCAAATAATGAAAAAATAAACGTCAGTGTTTTAGAAAATTAAAAATTATTGTGTAGAGTTTTAATATTGTAAACTCCTGGCGTCACCCTGATCAGCTGATTAACTCCTGGACATGAGCTACAAATGTCTCATTCCTCAAGTTGAGCCTGAACCAGAGACTGTCGGAAGTGTCTTACCTGCTGAGGACAAAAAGAACTGGACTCAGTTGGTCTCACTGGTCTAATGTCCTCTTTTCAGATGAAAGAAAATTTTCATCGTCATTTGGAAATCAAGGTCCCAGAGTCTGGAGGAAGAGTAGAGAGGTCCAGAATCCATGTTGTTGAAGTCCAGAGTGCAGTTTCCACAGTCTGTGATGGTTTAGGTCTTCTGCTGGTGTTGGTCCACTGGGTGTTCTGAAGTCCACAGTCAACGCAGCATCTACCAGGACATTTTACCATACCATTTTATTTATAGAGCACTTAAAACAGTGACAAGGCCAACCAAAGTGCTGTACAAACAACAACGGGCAACATACAAAATGAAGTTAAATCAGAATATAGACAAAAACGTTGCAGATTCATTCATTCATTCAACCTTTATTTAAACAGATAAATCACATTGAGCCTCGAAGACTCATTTACAAGTGAGACCTGTTTGGACAGACAAAAATAGTGGTTAACTGGACACATGAAGGAGTTGGAGGCGAAAAAAAATCCTATCAGACTTTTTTCTTGGCTGAGAAAAACCCCTAATATTGAACAAACACCTGGCACAAACAAGCACATATTTACGTAGACATTCTGCAGATAATAAATAGAACGACTAACCTGTGTGAAGCACACAGGTTCAAACAGATCATCTGGTGTTGAAAGCTACGAAAGAGTAGTGGATTAAACAGGATTTGAAAACCGAGAGGGAGGGGGTCTGTCTGACAAGCAGAGGTAACTCGTTCCAAAGTCTTGGTCCTGCTACAGAGAAGGCCCTGTCACCTCT